TTTGAAGGGCATATTTAATACCTGTTATTAACACATATCATAGGTGCTGGAGGTGTGGCTCGGGTACAATGCATGGTTCGTTTATGCTGAGGACCTGATTTCATCCCCAGCACCACAAACAAAACAATTCCAGCATTCTGGGAGGCTACAGCAGGAAGATCACAAGTTGGCAAATGAGCCCAGCATAGGCAACTTGGTGACTCAGTGAGACCCCATCTGTAAATAAAAAAGGGCTAGGTTTGTAGCTCAGTGTGAAGGCACTGGGTTCAATCCCCAGTACTACAAAAAAGAAAAAACAAAACAAAAAATCAGAAAATACATAGCACATAGTCTTTTTACTAAGTAATCAAAATAAAATTGGTAATAGTGCTTATAAAAGCAGGAGGTACTGTGTTCTTGTACAATAGTAGTGAGGAAAAATACTGGCAATATAGTGTTTGATTTGCAGAGTTTGTATCAAAATAGAATGGGCAAATATTTTAATTTTTGGGGCGGGGGAAACATTTTACTAGTTAGGCTTTTGACAGTTTGTGTTTGTGTGTTACTTGGAGTTGAACCTAGGATGTTTGCACTAAGCTACAATTCTGGCCTCCTTCCCTTTTCAGACAGGGTCTCACTGAGTTGCTCATGCTGGGCTCAAACTTGTAATCCTCCTGCCTCAGCCTCTCAGAATGTTAGGGTTACATTTGACTGAATTATTTTTTAAAAGTACATTTGGACCCAGGGACAAATGTGCTTTAAAAAAGTTTTGAGTCCAGCCTGGGCAATTTAGCTAGACTACCCTGTCTGAAAACTTTTAAAGTGCAAAGGATGTTGTTTGGTGGTAGAGTGCTTGGCCAGGATGCCAAGCCTTGGCCCTGGTGAGTTTGACCCCCAGTACTGCAAAAAAACTGAGATAAAAATTAGGATCTGGGGCGTGATAAATATAGAGATGCTTACACACATTGGTAGGACCAGCTTAGAAAATACAGGGTACAGTGACATTACTCTATGATGATGCCTACAGTTAGACATAACCATCTCCAGAAGTGTTTTGAACTACTTGATATTTAAACTTTAAGCAGTTCTTGACTTAATTCACTGCTTCCTTGAACACTTAATGGATGTGTTCCCAAATTTTATTCAGTGTTTAAATTTTTTTTGGTTTTTCCAAGTATTCATACTTTTATTATAGTATCAATTAGCTAGAACTTTGAACCAAATGAGCTCACTGGCCAGGTAGAACATGCATACAGAGAATTTAATGCCAGGCCTGCACTGAAGATTCCTCGTTTGTGTTCAGAATTTTTTGTTGAGACCATAGGTAGATCAGTAAATGGTACTCAGTCTTTTTTTTTGATGCTGGGGATCGAACTTGAGACCTAGTGCTTGCAAGGTAGGGGGCAGAACCACTAAGCTAAATCCCCGGCCCAGTACTCAGATAGTCTTAAAAGGGAAAATGAGTAAACAGTATGATGCTTTTATAAAAGGTTACATACTATAACAGTAATTACTACTACTAGTGCTACTACTACTACTACTACTATTACTATTGGCTTTTTTCAGACAGTCTTGCTATGTAGTTCCAGCTGGCCTTGAATTCACTTCGTAGCTCAGACTGGTCTCAAACTTGGAATGATCCTCCTGCCTCAGTCTCCCAAGTGCTGGGATTATAGACATGCACCACTACACCCGGCCAGCAGTAATTATAGCATTTTCAATGTTGTGTTAGTTCTTTTGCACTTCTTTTTTTTCAGTATCAGGGATCGAACACAGGATCCCTTAGCTACATATCCAACCCTTTTAGTTCTTTATATAGTCACACAAGTCCTGTTTTCATTCCCTGTTGCTGAATGTTTTGAAATTTCATAGGACCATGGTTAATGTACAAGAATTAGGTTAAATAAAACGTCTTAAGGCTGGAGGTACAGCTCACTGGTAAAGCTTTTATGCATACAGGAGGCCCTGGCTTTGATTCCCCAGGACCACACACACACAAACACACAAAAAACAAAAATTTTCTTTACCTAATTTCATTTTCCTATTCCCCCAAAAGCAAAATTTTGGAAGTTTACTCATTAATAGATTTGTATTGATTATCCTATCCTTGACTGTTAACTTGCTTTTGCAGAGGACTGTTTTGGTAGGAGGAAAAAGAGCTAATTTAGAGCATGGAACATTTTGGTATGACAGGGTAGAAATTGGGAGAGGGGGAGGTTTGCTATGGTAGAATGGTGTGCACCTGAGGAACCAGGATGAGTTGGGGATGCTGTTAAGGGTGAATTGAAAATGAAAAGTTCTCTACAGCCTGTGCTTCATTCTATAGTGATTATGTACCTCAAATTAGAAGGGTTATCCATACTGCTTCATTATCCCTGTGCAATAGTGCAGTGTTCTGCAATTCTGATATCTTGGTTGTTTCAGTTGACTGTGCTCAGAAACAGCACAGAAATTCTTAGATGGATTGTAGTTTAGTTTCAGAAAACTGGGATTATTGTGTGTATTGCCTCTATGACCAGAACTCAGCAGAAAAACTAACATTTTTATAACTTAGCCATACCCATGATTGGGTTGAATGGAGTCTTGTGAGTGTTTTGGGAATCCACCATTTAGAGTATTGTTTCTGTAAGAATTCTTTTTGCATTCCTGCCTTTCCACTCCACCCCCCCTTCTCCTCTCCTGCTGTCCTTTTCAGCATGTTTATACTCAAGCCTGCATCTTTCCATGTTTTTTTTTCCTTCTCATAAAATCATAGATATATATTTTTTGTTTTTTGTTTTGTGGTACTGAGGATTGGGCCAGGGGGCTCTACCACTGAGCTATGTTCCCAACCCCCCCTTTTTTTTTTGGTACGGGAGATTGGAGATTGAATTCAGGACCTTGCACTTTCGAGGCAGGCGGTGGAACCACTGAGCTAAATCCCCGGCTAGCCTTTTTTTTGGAGAGTTTCACTAAGTTGCCTGAGCAGAACTCAAACTTGGAATCTTCCTTACTCTCCCTCAGTGCTAAGATTACAGGGTATATTTTGTTATTTTATAGAAGTGACCTGTAATTAACATTTTGTATCAAAGAAAATATGAAAACTTTTAACACTAAAATAAGCCCAGGATTTTCCTTTCTACTAGAAATGTATTTGCAGCTTTTCTCTTGGGAAAAAAACCAATAACTTCAGTTATTTACCAAAGTTAATTGTGCCAACCACTGTTCAGAATGGTGGGGATATGGAACTCTGCTTAGAGAAAAGCTTACCTGCCTAATAGTCACTTAAGAAAGTCATAAAGTTTTTTTTTAAGTCATAAAGTTATTAAATATGACTAATGTTTGTAGCTGCTTTGTCCTTGTAAGAAAAAGGCACAGGAACTGTGACTTACTGAAGATCAGACCACATTAATTGGTATAGGCAGCATTCTGAAATTAGATCACACACCCATTCTTTTATATCACACTATTGTTACAATAGGAGTTTTCCCAAACTAGAGTGATACTGAATGGAACTACAATCCATACATGTATGATTGATAAGCAAAATTTATATAATGACTTGAATTCAGATAATTTAACCTACCTTATCATTTATAGTATTTTTGACTCTATAGATAAGGCATGATTAGAAAATTATTTAACTAGATATTCCTATAGTGGAAGCATATTTTCTCCTTACTGTCTTGACTTTATCAGCAGTTATGTTTACTTAACTTCATTGACCTCTAAACTATTTGATAGCAGTGTTTTCCAGGATTTAAAATTTACCTTTTTAACAGTACATGCCCACCATATTATAACATGGATATTTTCAGGTCAGTATCAATCAGAAGGTGAAGAAGCAAAGCAATTCAATTCCTATAAATGAAAGTTTGATAAGAAAGTATGTAAAACCTTGGATTGTGAGTAACTTTTTCTGTGAGTGTTCTGCAAGAGGAACAGACATTTTTAATAAATTCGTAACTCAATAAATGAGTTAACATCCTGCCGTAGGAGTATGTGATGCTGAGTGTCACATGATCACAACTGAGCCCATGGTTCTCCCCTCTCCCTCCCTCTCTCCCTCTTCCTCTTTTTTCTTCTCTTGCTCTTGCTGCAGGATTGTGGGTTATCAGCTCCCAGCAGCAGCAAGAGGTTATGGAGGAGATATCATGTACAGAGAAGGAGGAGGAAAAGTCAGAAGAATCCCTCACTTCAAATGAGATTAGGCATGTGTAAAATGTGGGAAACAGTGCAAAATTTTGTAGAAAGGGACCACCCAAATGAGGTTATAGCAGTGTGAGCCATCAATCTGCTTGATGACAGTGTAATGTCACATTGCTGCAAAATCCTCAAAAGGAGACAAAAGCAAGTTTCATTGATTGGATAGGTTCCTTGTTAAAGGTGCATGAAAAGAAAAAGATTCCATTGAGCCAGTAGATAGTACTGATTTCTTTAATGATCATGAAAGTTGCCCTGCACAATAACCCTCTCGTTTCCCTCACACTAGCCATGAAGGCTTTCAAAGTTGTATAGGTTAATTTATTTTCTTTATATTTGTATTTTCCTTATTTTGTATTATATTACATTATTATAATTTTACTGTATGTATAATGAATATTTTTGGGTTGTTGAGTAAATCACCTGAGTTTTCATTATTATGGGGAGATTTGCTTTGATATACAAGTGCTTTGGATTATACAAGCATTTTCCAGAATGAATTTTGCTCACGCACCAAGGTTTTACTGTGATTATTTTAATTTTAAATCTTCATTCATGTTTTTAGATTACATATGAAGAGAATAACCAATAAAATACTGATCCTCAGTCAGATATGTTTCATTTTTCTTAAAATAGCAATGAGTTGTGCCACATTGTTATTCATTCCTTTCAGTGTTTGGGATGATGCCTCAATCTCAAAATGTTTAATAATTACTAATTGTATGTTTGACTAGTACTTCTTAAAAAACTTATGTTGATAATGATACTTTGTTTTCCTTGGATTGGGAACTCTAAAATGTAAATAAAGTTTAATATTAATGTTTTCCTTTCATTTACAGGAGTCAGAAATACCAGCGGAGGAAGGGTACTGTGACTTTAATAGTAGGCCAAATGAGAACTCTTATTGCTATCAACTTCTTCGACAACTAGATGAACAAAGGAAGAAAGATATTCTTTGTGATGTCAGCATTGTGGTAAATGGGAAAATCTTTAAAGCTCACAAGAACATCCTGGTTGCAGGCAGCCGTTTCTTTAAGACTTTATATTGCGTCTCAAACAAAGACAGCCCTAACCAAAATAATACTACCCATTTAGATATTGCTTTAGTTCAAGGTTTTTCAGTCATCTTGGACTTCTTGTATTCGGGTAACTTGGTGCTCACTAGCCAAAATGCCATTGAAGTGATGACAGTGGCCAGCTACCTTCAGATGAGTGAAGTCGTTCATACTTGCCGAAATTTCATTAAAGATGCCTTAAATATAAGCATTAAATCAGAAGCTCCAGAGTCTGTAGTGGTGGACTATAATAATAGAAAATCGATCAATAGAGATGGTCTGTCTTCATCACGGGATCAAAAAATTGCCAGCTTTTGGGCAACGCAGAATCTTACTAATTTGGCAAGTAATATAAAAATAGAGAATGATGATTGTAATGTCAGCGAGGGCCAAATGGAAAACTACCAAACAAGTGACAGTAATTGGGCCCAGCGTGGTTCTCCTGAATTGGCTGAAAACGAGTCTCCAGGTCAAGGAAAAGTGTTTATTTGGAATGATATAGGTTCCCAGGGAATTCAAGAGACTGGCAAAACAAGGAGGAAAAATCAAACTACAAAGAGATTTGTTTATAATGCATCACCTAATAATGAAACAAATTTAGAAGATTCCTCAGTGATGCAGCCACCTGTTGCCCATCCAGAAGAGAATAAGACCCTAACCATCAAGCAAGAACCAGGTAAGTAGTGTATTATATATACAAAGGCATTTATGTTTTCATTTTAATTCTTGTTGATTATAATCTTGGTATATTTTAAAGTAATATTTTAGTTAAATTTTTTATTACAAAAGTAATGTGTAACACTACTTGAATGTTTACAGTAGATTAAGGAGGAAATCAGTTAAACACATAAAATCTCTGGTATATTTTGGCATGGATATGTTTCTCAAAAGTTGTAACCAATCTGCATATCCAAATGCTTCTTGACTTTAGATGAGGTTAGGTCTCCGTAAATATATCATAAGATGAAACTGAAATGCACTTAATTATGTAGCTTGCTGAAGTCATAGCTTAGCCTAAGACTAAATGGACCTGAAACGGACCCAGAACACTGTGTGTAGGCCTACTGTTGGACACACTCATGTAATGTGAAACCTGTTTTATAAGTGTTGAATACTTCGTGAAATTTACTAAATAATGTACTGAAAATGAAAAAGAATGGTTGTATGGGTACGCTTTTACACCATCATCATCAGTCAGAAAAAGCTAAGTCAAACCATGTTAAGTTAGGCACTATCTGTGAACTATACTACATGAGCCATTCTGAAAATTTCCTCGTCTGCTCATTTCCTCTGTGTTCACTGTTTTACAACTAGTACTAGAAGATAGAGCCTAGAGGTTTTTCTTTTAAATGTATTAAATTCTTTTATTGGCACATTGTAGGTATACAACACAATTACATTTCTCATTGGGAATTGTACCTTTACATAATGCATCTTGGTTCTTATTTTTTCCCCATTCCTAACCCTCCTTTCACCCCCTCCACCCTTCCCTATTTACAAAGACTTTATTTCCATTTTGTCCATTTCTCATCATTTTTCCTTTCCCTTCTTTCCTTTCCCCTGCCCATCCCACTACCCCTACCCCTTTGGACCTTTTCTTCCTATTTTGCATTATCGATTATTCATTCTAATCATTGGTACATTTTAGGTATACAATATAATGACATTCATCATTGGAAATTTGCACCTTTACATAATCTCTTCATTCTTATTTTTCACCCTTGCCCAGCCCTCTCTTCAACCACTCCAGTCCTCCCTATTTACAAAGATTTTGTTCCTATTTTTCCATTTTCTCATATTAATCCCATTCCCTTCTGTCCTTTCCCCTAGCCCTCCCACTTCTTTCCCCTTTGTCCCTTTTCTTCCTATTTCACATTACCTATTATACATTTAGTCCTTACTTACACTTCCAGTGTCTCACACCAGAGAAACTATTCAGTATTTACACATGTGTGTCCTATTTATTTAACTTAAGAGTATCGCCTCAATGTGCATCCACTTAGCTATAAATGTCTCTAATTTCTCTCTTTTTTTTTTAAAATTTCACATTTTTGGTGGCTGAGTAGTACTCCATTTTATTTAAAAACCACATTTTCTTTAATATATAATCATTTGGTCATTTTGGAACATTTATGAGATCTAGCTAACACCCCCCCCCCAGGTATTTAAACCCGTCTTATCTAATTTATTTAGAGCTACTGTACTGTTCTCAGCACAGATCTTAGAGAAGTTGGAATGTTTTAAGTTCTCTTTTGCATTAGCAAGAGAAGGCTTTAGACCTTTTTTCCTTCTGTTTATTCCTAAAAGAATGTATACTAGAGTCTTAGAATATCATATTGGCAATGGAGATCCCCCCCGCCCCAGTACTGGGAATTGAACTCAGGACCTTGAGCTTGCCAGGCAGGCGCACCATATGCCACTGAGCTACATCCCCTGCCCCAGGGGATTCTTTTAAAAAATGTGTTAGACTATAAGTAGAAAATTGGAACATTTCCTTTTATCTTCAGTTTAATTTGGCTGTGTGTAACCTTATTTGAAGGAACAGCTGGGCTGGGATTTAGCTCAGTGGTGCTGAGCCTGCTTCACAGGCTTAAGTCCTGAGTTCGATCCCAGGTACTGGAAAAAAAAGCAGCTGAGTGGGTTTGAGGTTTCACCTCAGGTTTGTCCACTACTGTCACACTTGCTTTAATGCTTTTTGTGCCTCAAAGGGCTGCTTGGTGTCTGATTTACTTGATGGTGATCATCCGAGGATGGAGTACTTTCTGTTAAAAAGAGTTACTGTTTTTAGTTCCCATTTTAGTGGCAAAATGTCACATTAATCCTAAGAAATGGTCTTTTGGCTTTTTCAGTTAGGTTTAATTTGGTAAAAATTTATGTGAAAAGTAGCACATGTATATAATGAATACTATTTGTTGCTCTTATACTTCACACCAAGTGTTTAGCAATAAATACCCTCAGGCAGTTTTGTTTTAGCTTAATTTTATTATAGAAGACCTTGAGTTCTCAGACATGAAGCTGCATTGGCTTTCTACTGCATAGATTATTCTAGCATAGTGGAAAGCCTGTAGTGTTTAAATATACAGTATTGTATACCTGCAGTTGCAAATGAGGCACACAGAATAAATTTCCCTTAAAGAATAAGCAGATCTTAGGGCCGGAAATTTAGCTCAGTGGTTCTGGCGCCTGTCGTGAGGTCCCAAGTTTGATCCCTCGTATCAAAAAAAAAAAAACAACAACAACAACAAAAAAAACACCCCAGATCTTTTGGGTAATAGTTTGAGGCCAAAACTAACTAGAGCCAACCTTATTCTTAAAATTATTGCTACATATAATTGGAGTGATTTAAAGAAAAGCAATAATTTTTGAACCATAATGCATACTTTGAAAAAAAGCAACACTACTAGCAATTTTGTTAGTATCTTAGCATCCTTATATGGATAGTGTAGGTCTGTCATAAATTAATTGTTGGTAGTCTAGTATGTCTTTAGTTTATCTCTATTACATACAATTATGTTCTTATGTCACTGATAGGACTTTGGCATCTTGCTTAAACTCAGATTTGGTTTTATCAGTGGTATGCTACATTCCAACTTGTTAAAGCTTTTTACAACTTTTTAATGTCTCTAAATCCAGTATCATTTGAAGGCAAAAAATAGGTCTTACAAGAGCATTATGGTTAGGGCATAATATATGTGAACCAAGAATTGGCAGATTTTTGCTGTGAAGGTGAAAAACTAGTAATACTTGGCTTTGTTGGCCATGCAGTCAAGGTACTCCACCATTTGTAGTGGGACGGTAGTCAGGAGCAAAATGTAAACAATGAATGTGGAGGTGTTCCAGTGAAACTTTCTTTGGACAGTGTATGCTGTAGAACAGTGGGGTTTTTTTTCCTTTTTTGAGATAGTACCCCAGGCTGGCTTTGAACTCTTTAATCTTCCTGTCTGTTTCTGTAGTGTTGGGATTATAGGCATGTGCCACCACACCTGACAAAGATTTTCTTAAGCAGTCTGTCTGTGTAGGATGATAATTATTAAGAAGTTTTTTTGTTTGTTTTTGGACGTGTGTCTTGACCTTTGGCTTTTAAAAAAAATTTCATTTTATTCCATTCTCCCCCCTTACACTTAACCTCATACATGCTGAATTATATATCTGGTTTGTTTGTAAATCATAGCTTTAATACTGTTGTCTTGCTATAAAATTTTTTATTTTGTTTTAAGAGTAGGAAAAATTTATTGAAAGAAAGATAGCTTCTAAGAAAGACAGAAGGGGGACCCAAAAGTGGGTTGCCCGCTCACCCTGCTTCTCAAAGGTGTTTTATGGGACAAAGCCATGAGGTGAGGCTGGTTCAAGGTGGGACAAAAACTGTAGTCAACTAGTAAGATTACAAGTACAGTGGCTTAGGTAATACTGACCCAATGAGAAATCACAAGGTGGACAGAACTGTGAACAACCAATAACATTATGACAAGTATAGTCAGGTAATATTGATTAAATGGGGATCCATTGGGGAAAAAAGTCACCTAGAAAGAACAAGGATTTTGGGTGATAAGAGGTGGGTCTTGGAAGATCTTGGTCCCTCACCTAGGTGATAGATACCTATTTAGAATATCAGTCACTGCTATTCATCCTTAGGGGAAGCATGTGGGTGTGGTAGTTCCTGTTTTACTATGCTGGCCTTCAGTGAATGTGTCTTGATTGTGCTCCATGTTGGTTCAGTTGTCCTCCCTGTTGGTCCTTCCTGTGCTGGCCCTCACTGCCTACAAGATACCTAATTAACTTACCTATCTACAATATTTCCACCTCTGAAGAAGTACCCCTAACTGCAGTGAGGGGGCAAAGGGTGAAGACAGTTCTGGCTACTTTCAGCAGAAGAGGGTCGTAGTTGTGATCAGCAGTCAGTTGCTCTACAGAGGGTTTATCCAAAGGCCCTCAATAGGAGCCAGGCATTTTCATCTTGGGTAGGTGTATAGCTTTGAGTTTCTGTCCAGTAATCTTGGTGGAAGAACTCCGAAATGATATGGGGGGAATCGATGTAACTCCCAAACCTGTTAGATATCCAAAGCATGAGTTTGTGTTCTCTAAAATTGAAGAATGAATTCTAGGAACAGTGAAGGTTAGAGTAGGAAAATTTTATTGAAAGATAGCTTCTATCTAAGAAAGACAGAAAGGATACCGGAAATTGGGTTGCCCCCTTGCTATATAATTTGAAACCGGTGGCTGGTATGTAGGTGCTTAATCAAAATTATTTTTGTCGTGGAATAATTAAAACTCAGCAAAAACTAAAACTTAGTACTCAAATGGAGGGGTGTCATTAATGAGTTTTGATAATGTGAAAATTTCAGATCCTGTTGATTTCCAACCAGGAAACACTAAATTTTAGCCAAATTATAAAAATAATACAGTATGTTCATGTAGGAGGCATATTAATTAGCGAATCAAGGGTTAATCCCATTTTTGATTTTTTGATTCTCTGGGCTGATAGAGAATTTTCTGAATCACTAGCAAATTCCACCCATTGTAAATGATAGTACCCTGTGTTGAATGGATATATACCTTATTTCATACAAAGTTTTTAAATTGACAAGTTTCCAAAATATAAGTAAAAATTAGCAAAGAAATTAAAAAGTGCTAGTCATAGGTATAGATAAGGTTGACCTAGTTAAATTTTTAATTGAT